TCTCCCGGGTGTTCCCAGCATCTGCTGGACTGGAGCCGTGGGTGCTCGCTCAGTGTTTCCTGATAAAGATGGCAGACTTTTAGAGCAGTCCTGCATTTCACTTTTGCTTTCTCAGTGGATGAGCAGTTATTTCAGGATGGAATAAACAAGGTTGTTCCAGAGGCGTTCGCTGTGTTCTCTCCTGTGCCTGGAGGTGCCAGCGCTCCTGCCAGCGCGTGTGGATCCCAGCAGCTGATTGGCAGCTTTATAACTTAGTTATTGGAGTCTCAGCTTATTTACCCTGACAGATCTTGATCTGATTTATCACTCTTGGTGCTGCAGTGCATTGTGTAACACGGCATGTCCAGCTGAACAATCCCCATCGATTTGTAGCACTCCCCTAACGGAATTGCCGGCTTTATCAGAGAAATTCTTGTTTTGGTGACATCAGCTCCTTGACATCCATGCCATGTTTTAGTTGTGCCTCAGCTGCTAGCTACAGCCTCTCAAGGGAGCCAGTACCACCCGTGCCTGGATACATGAGGCAGAGATGTGAAAGGGAGAGACGGGGGTAACCAGTCTTCCATTAAATATTTGCTCTTAATGTTCGAGCTGATCCTGCCTATTGTCCTTGGTGTCTAATGGTATTCACACGGCGGCATCCGTGGAATAAAGGGAAAATGTTTCATTTCATACCTACTACATTGTAAAGAATTCCATGCTGAAGAGGCTAAAGAATAAAACCCAGTGAGTAATGCATGCTTTTCTGTAGATTTTGTGTCATCGTTGTGGTTGGTGTTGCGAGCGGCGGGCACTGACGCGGGCTGTGTGTACGTGTGCTGCAGGAGAGAGGAGAACTCAGCATTTTGGTTATGGTACAGTCGCTGTGCCTGCCACCCTCCTTTGCAGCCATGGATTGTTACAAATGCAGAGATTCCTGCTGCCTCTGTGCGTAGGGATGTGGCTGAGAGACCTCCTGGAAATGCTGAGAAAATTGCATTGAAAGGACTCCTGGGGAATGTATTTTAGGAGGAGAGGAACAGAAGAGTGAGTGATGCTGCTGCTGCTAATATTGGAGATTAATGAAGGAAATGTATCCCAAAAACCCTGACGGTATGTGCTCAGGGCCTGTTTATTGTAGGATTGCTGATGTAAAGGCTGACCATTTAGGAGCATCATTTTCTGAGGCCTTTTTGTTGAATTCTGCTTAGTGGATTGTCATTGATGGCTGTTTTTAATTGTGAAATGCTTGTTTTGAATTAAGGGTTACTTAGTTTCTAATATTGTCAGAACGAACTGTGCTTAGTTCACTTCTGCTTTACAAATAGATCTGTGTATTTAATATTAAAATTCATCCTGGGTTTGGATAGCTAGTGCCAGCAAATTTTAGGGTTGTTTTCTGTTGGCTTCGTTAAATAGGAGAATGCAGACTATGAAACCTTTAATTAATTAACAGAAGAGAATGAATGTATTTTAAATGTTTTAGCACTCATTACGTTAGTGTGATAGTTTTTGTTATCTAATATTTCTGGCTGATTTTGCTGCCTTATTTTTTTGGTAATGATTACACTGTGTTGTGCATGTCTGCTGTGCTCTTTGTTTATCTGCTCAGTATTTTAGCATTAGGTGTTTGGACTTCATTTTCCCCCCAAGCCATCTTTCTTGAAAATATCATCATAGGCTTGAGTAAAGGTATTGTAGCAACTAATTGTTGTTGTGAGCTTTTTATTTTAGGTATAGATATTTGATTTTGCCTTATATCTTGCCTGATACTGTGAAATAGCTTTAAAAAGCTTCTTGCTGGAGTAGTGTGGCCTGTAAATATTTTTCTAGCTCATAAGGCAGGTTTTTCCCTTCATTTGTCACTGTATTGGCAGCAGTGATTAGGTTATTCAGAGCACGTGAACCAATTTAATCCCCCAATGAAGAAAAGAACTATTGCCACCATAGAGACTGTTCTGAAGATGCAGATTGGATTGCACTGGATAATTAGGCAATTTTGAAACTGCTAGTAACCCTCTCCTGGATTTTAGTAATTGAACTGGGGGGGAGGGAGGGACTGTACTATTTTAATGTAAGATATTTTTGCTTAGGATTTAAAAATAGCTATGTCATAGTTTCTCAAGAATACCTGAAATCTCTTCCTCTGTTTTAACTGCACCACGTTTGTGTTGTATGTGACATCTTTGAAAAAGAGACAGATTGTGAGGCAGCATAAGTTACTGAGAACAGAATTGTAGCTAAAGGTCTGGTTTGCTTATAGTAATTTCATGGTTTTTAATTCTAAATAATCTTAACAGTTTTCTTAGCTGTGAAACATCCAATGAAGAATAAAGGGCTGGACCCTGTTTTTTATAATTCAGGCATAAAATGATAAAGCACAAGTCTGATTGTGGGATTTGAGATCTGCTTTTAATTAAAGATGCTGGGTGTCTTAGCAGATGATTGTGTTACAATTTATAAACTATAGACTAAAACTACAATGGACTAAGGACTGCATGGGCTGTTTTTTAAGGTGTCATAGCAAATAATCTGTTCTTTTTTCTTTATTCCACTTCCCCTCTCCTAGCTGTTACTCAGGATGTAGTATATGAAATGCAGAAAGGATGTCACCTGGTTTCAGAAAGCTTCTTTTTGATGTAATGTCTGGTCCTCTCCCTGTGTTATGTCTCATAGCTTATAAATTGGTAAATCCACTCTTGATATTCAGGCACTTGGGTAACTAAATGGGCAAGGAGGTGGTGAAGCTTTTTGATTTTGCTGGAATTAGTGAGTATTTGTGGGCCTGGTAAACCCCAGTTGGGCCTGTGTGTTTCAGTAGCTTGGGAGAGCTGTTTAATATGAAACCTCCTCATTTATACAGCCAAGGTAAATGTTGTATTATTGTACTTGGGCTCTGTGTAATACTTTTGGAAATGAATTTCTCTATGCAAGTTCTGGTTTTTTATGTTGAGCTGAGCCACAGAATCCACAGCAGAGGCCTGCAGGGCAGGTGTGTGGGCTCTTAGCATTGATCTCCTGGATTTTGGAGTTGCTGTGAGAAACCAGATTGTGAGTGAGATTGTGCTGCTCATTTGGGGTGCAGAGCTCCAGGAGCAAACCTTGGGAGGCTCTGATGCAGTTGGAGCCTCTGAGGCCTTGCAATAATACAGGTCTGGGGGGTAAATGAAGCAAAAAGCAGCAAACTTGAGGCTTGCTGGCAGGGTGGCTCCCAGGGGAGGCTCAGGGGCCCTGGGCACTGTCAGGCAGAGGAGGGTGAGCAGATTGTGCAGTTCATCCTGGAGCCACACGGGGAGTGGAAAAAGGCAAAACTGATCCTGTCAGTATTGACCAGAAAGTGCCTCATTTGTACCTCGAGTTCCATTGCTGTTCCTCCTGCATCTCTTAGGGCTCGTCCTTGTATTGGGAGCTGGGGATGTGTTTTAAAGGAAACCAGAAGCTACTTCAAGGCAGTACTCCAGGATTTCAGTATGGCCTTTATTTTTATAATAAATTACTACTGCTAATGCTATTCTATGCTTCTTCCAATAATTTAGATTCTTTTCTAGTGCTCTTCAGTAAAGCAGTGCAGGTGCCTGTGAGAGGCACAAGACTCCCTGTTCTTCACTTTGTCAACTCTGGTCCAAAGTTACCAAACTTTAAGTTTATTTTCATTCCAAGCACTTGTTCTGGAAACTCTTGGTAGTTCTGTGATGATCAGCTCCATGGGCAGTAGCACTTTGCAGTACAAGAATTGCCCATAACTCTGAAATGAGGGGAAATGTGTGCATGGGCCAGGTCACAGCCAGTGGAATGTTTTAGGGCACGGAGACAAGAGTAGGACTTCAA